GCACACTGACTAAAGCAAATAATAATAGATACTACTTTTGGAGCGTCGCGTTGGTTATATTTATAGGAGTGTGAAGAGTTTCTCCAAATTTCAGTTTCACGTAACAATACTGACGCTAACACAAGCGTTTACGTACACACATATATTGTTGATTCTTACTCTCGGGAATCTTCTACAACCTTGAAGAATAGGCGTGAGTTTCGCAATATATATTTAACTGTATAAGTTAGGTACACTTGTAAATATAAATTTAATTCAAACAAACATGGACATTAAAATAAATATATAATAATAAATCCGTCACACATTAAATACTGAATCGTCGGTAGAGATGAGACCGTCTGCAGTTAAAGAAAAGCTGCTAAATTCGAGAGAGAGCAGGATCGACACAAGCCTAAATGTTACATTATCACAACACATTACACTGTAGATGCTTTTTTCCCACAACCCACTTTGTCGATCATTTACTTCTATACCCGATAAAAATTATGCTTCGCTAAACTAAGTGTTTAACGCCTTTTAGCATCTAAGAGTAACATGTTTAGAATGACAAGTGGCAGATACTTGTGTTTAGAAAAAAAATAACTTTAAAACGATAACCTTCATTCACTTGTGGCCCGGCATGGCCAGGTTGTTAGGGTGCTCGACTCACAATCTGAGGGTTGCGGGTTCGAATCCCCGTCACACCAAACATGCTCGCCCTTTCAGCCGTGGGGGCGTTATAATGTGACGGTCAATCCCACTATTCGTTGGCAATAGAGTAGCCCAAGAGTTTGCGGTGGGTGGTGATGACTAGCTGCCTTACCTCTAGTCTTACACTGCTAAATTAGGGACGGCTAGCGCAGATAGCCCTCGTGCAGTTTTGCGCGAAATTCAAAAATAACCAAACATTCACTTGTATTAACTAACGAAGCGACTAAGTTGCACATTCAAGTTGTACAGGTTTAATTGTTATATACAGCACATAAAGAAAAAAACGATTATAGCATTTAAATTGATTAAGTTGATTTATAACATTTGTCTTATAACATTTAAGACAAACTGTAAGCTATAATTTACCTATGTATTAAATTTTAAATAGCTTCCGAAATTAGTTTATTTTCGCATGCGGAAAACACTGGACCTAGTAATAACGTAAAACTACAAACTTGTAACTCGAATGTAATGTTACCGTTTTTCGTATTAACTGTGTTTATTCTAGCATGGTGAATTAGCAGAGAGGGTTTTCCTTTTTAATAGTGATCACTTCAAAAGGATTTCAGAATATTAAAAATCATTATATGCTGTTCTGCACATGAAGTATATGTATCTATAACATGTTTGTTTTTAATACAAAAAGTTCACGTTTATTATTTGTTACGAGAAGGTTTTTGAGATCTCAATAATATATCAACACAGAGAGATAGATAGCTGGAATAGACGATGAGCAAGCAGAAAGATTAAATACACAGATAAGCGCACAAATATGTAAAACATAAAATCAAGCGTACAAATTGAAACATATCGATACTCATGTTGTGTAAAATGAAACCACTCATATAATATATACAAGTATTCACATAACACCTGCTTTAACGAAAGGCATAGAAAGCTTTGCAACACCAGCAAACTGTTTCTTGTGCACACCTGGATTTTTTCTCACACTTGATCAATACAGGATTCAAGTCTCTG